TGATCCTCCTGCCTCAGCCTCCCAAGCCACTGGGATTATAGGTGTGCACCACTGCATCTGGCTTAAATAATTTCTTACTTTGAAACACTTAAGGTTAATGGGAAGCTGAAGCGAAAGACAGGGAGATCTCTGGCTTCCTTCATCCATATTTCCTGATGTGCGTATCTTGCATAATGATGGCATTTTCAACACAGGGAGCTGATGTGGTGTAGACCACTGGGCTGTTTAGGCCTTGCTAGTTTTAGGTGAACTAGAGTGTGTGTGTGTATGGTCTGCAGTTTTAGTATATGTAGTGTTGTGGGACTCCTGCCTGAGTGGAGATGCAGACCATGCCGGCATCACAAAGCATCCTGTGCAGCTCTGACAGCCGCCCTATTGCCCAGCCCTGGCAGTCGCTCATCTGCTTTGCTCTGATTTTCTGGTTTTAAGGATGTCCTGTAGTGTGGGACCTTTCACACTGCCTGGCTTTTTCCACTCAGCACTGTTCCTGAGATTAGTCAAGCTGTTGGGTTGGTGGCACTTATTTGAGCAAAGGGTCCCAAGGGAACAAAAGAGCTGCTGACACTGGGAAAATAGCCATTACTCACTATTCAGTTGTTCTGGAACTTTTGTTTGCTTTTACACAAATGGTATCTGTGAAGGAGAGTCATATATAACTTATATCAGTTTTTTTGGGCGGGGGGGCATCACCAGGAATGGAACCCAGGGCCTCCTACATGCTAGGCAAGTGTTAAACACTGAGCTACCTCCTCAGCCCTAATCTGTTTTTTTGGTTTTTTTTTTTGGGTGGGGGTACCAGGGTTTGAACCCAGGGTGTTCAACTACTGAACCATATCCCTAGGGCTTGCTTATTTATTTATTTATTTATTTATTTATTTATTTTAAGAGAGAGAGAATATTTTAATATTGATTTTTTTAGTTTTCGGCAGACACAACATCTTTGTTTGTATGTGGTGCTGAGGATCGAACTTGCATGTCAGGCGAGCGCGCTACCGCTTGAACCACATCCCCAGCCCTATTTATTTATTTATTTATTTATTTATTTATTTATTTATTTATTTATTTATTTAAAGACAGGGTCTTGTTAAGTTGCTGAAGTCGATTTTGAATTCACTATTCTCTTGTCTTAGCCTCTTTTTTTTTTTAAAGAGAGAGAGAGAGAAATTTTAAATATTTATTTTTTAGTTTTCGACAGACACATCTTTGTTTGTATGTGGTGCTGAGGATCGAACCTGGGCTGTGCGCTACTGCTTGAGCCACATCCCCAGCCCCCCCCCCTTTTTTTATGTGGTGCTGTGGATTGAACCCAGGACCTTGTGCATGCAAGGCAAGCACTCTACCAACTGAGCTATATCCCCAACCCCTATCTTAGCCTCTTGAACTGCTAGAATTACAGGTGTGTGCCACTACACCACTACACCTGGCTCCTGCTTTGCATTTTTATCTGTCCTGGCCTAGCTATATGTTGTTACATATTCTCTTATGATGCTGGGCAGTGGCAGCGAGGAGCAGCCTGCATCCCTGAGGTCACCTGGGCAAATGGCTGGGACAGCACAGTGAACAGTGTGCTGCTTGGCTAAGCTGTGATGGTGTAGGTGAGTTGTGTTTCCTGCATTTCTATCTACAGTATCTTAATCTTTTTTTTTTTAATATTTATTTTTTAGTTTTAGGTGGACATAGTATCTTTATTTTATTCTTTTTTTGGTATCGGGGATTGAACTCAGGGGTATTTGACCACTGAGCCACATCCCCAGCCCTATTGCGTGTTTTTATTTAGAGACAGGCACTAAGGGTCTCATTGCGTTGCGTAGTGCCTTGCAGTTGCTGAGGCTGGCTCTGAACTCTTTTTTTTAAAAAATTTTTTAATATTCATTTTTCAGTTTTCAGCGGACACAACATCTTTATTTGTATGTGGTGCTGAGGATCGAACCCGGGCCGCACGCACGCCAGGCGAGCGCACTACCACTTGAGCCACATCCACAGCCTCTGGCTCTGAACTCTTGATTCTCCTGTCTCAGCCTCTCAAGCTGCTGGGATTACAGGCCTGCACCACAGCGCCCAGCTCTTTAATTTATTTTTATGTGGTGCTGAGGATTGAACCCAGTGTGTCATGCGTACTAGGTGAGCACTATCACTGAGCCACAACTCCAACCCCCAGTGTCTTAATCTTACAGTGATGTAGGAGCATCCACATGTAACACCACTGAGCATGCCAAGCTCTGAGAGCTGACTGCAAGGGAGCAAATAGGTCCTTTGTGCACCAGGCATGTCCCAGGCAGGAAGTGGCAAACATGGCTACTTATTCCTGTGTTTGTGGGGCTGGGACTCTGGGGAATGGAGCTGCTTCTATTGTTTTTGGGGGCATTTTGCCTAGCCCTCCAGGCACTGGAGTGCAGGAGGCGGGAGGAGAGGTGGAACAGGTTGGGGGAGCAGTTTCCCTTGTCCCTGAGAAAGGGCTGAGCTGTGCTAAGGGTGTAGAATCCCCAAATAGGGTGACTGCCAGTGCCCTACTGTTTGTGCTGCATTCTCTTTCTAGCTTTCGAAATCACACATCCCTTTGAAGTGTACTTTAGCATATCTAAAGTTTAAAAAAAGTCTTTGTTCATAAAATTCCAGTTGTTATTAGTTATAAGTTGGGCGTGGAGAAAAGAAACATAAAAGTTCAAATTCTGTTTAAACTTTGGTGTAAAACTTACATGTGAAATTGGCATTTGATTTTCATGCATAATGGTAAAGACAGAATGAGACTTTGTCAGTTTGTTGTTGAAATATTAAGAGAACCTTCAAAGTTAAATGTCTGTTTTGTGTTTGGGCGTGTTGGCACATGCCTGTAATCACAGTTGCTTGAGAGGCTGAGGCAAGAGGATCGCAAGTTCGAAACCAGCCTCAGCAGCTTAGTGAGGCTCTTAGCAATTTAGCAAGACCCTGTCTCAAAAATTAAAAAAATAAGAAGGGCCAGGG